CTTAAAGATCTTCTGCTGGGATAAAACCTGTTTACCAGAAGTTTCTAGAGCTTTACAAAGGAGGGCAGAATGGGGGGTATCTCATATCATGTTTAATTTAAATTTAAGCATCTCTATATTATTCTCAAATATCTGAGTTTCATGCTCGAGCAAATGACTATCTAATCAGTTTCAAAATCAAGAGAGTGAGAATGTGCAAAACAGTAATTTCATAGATTGAAATCCAGGTAGATTTTCCAAAAATTATTCTATGTATTAGCTTGTACTTAGAAAAAACAAACAAACGAACAACAAACTCTAATGAGAGAATAAATAAATGGTTTTAAAAGCAGATAAGGCAGACACCTCAACATTGTTGACTTTGTACAACTACATGTAAATGAAATTGGATGCCAAGAAAAAACAGGGGGCGGGACATCTTCAACTCTTACTTAAATCCCTCTTTAACTAGATTCAACTGAAACTTAGACTGTCTGGAGGACAAGGATGGGTAAATCTGAGCCAGACAGACACCTACGCTTGTGATAACCATGCCAACGTGGAAAGTGAAACAAGAAGTCCAGTCCCAAAGCAGAAAGAGTCTCAGGGGCAGAAAAGTCCTTAGAAATTCATTAATCCATTTGGAAATTCCCAGACTCCTTGAGAATCTGATGCAAGTTCTGGATTCTTTCCCCGGAAACATGTACAAAATTTCATATACAGTTTCAAGGGTTTTTGGAAACCACTGGCATAGCCTTCAGATGAAGAACCTTTCTAGTTAAGCCTCTCATGTTTCCAGGTAAAGGCTAAGAGACACTAACTATTCAAATCCCAGGCTACAAAGTTCTCAGACCCACAATTAAGTATGAAAAAAATAAAATCTTAGGAATCTATAAAAAGAGGATAAACTCCATCACTGCACACCAACACACACAAAATTCCTCAGAAGATAGACTTGGAGAGACCCTATTTCTTGCATAAGCCAGCTTTAAATTGCAGTTGCTTTTCTCTGGGGGAAGAAAGTCCATTTTCTCTTAGCATTTAGATTTTTCCCAGACCAAGGAAAGGTCTTCTGTATCCAGTTGTCCCCAAAGTCAGCTCAAACATACACTGTCCAAGATGGACTTGTCTTCTCAAAAGCAATTTCCCGTTGAAAGCTTTCGATTTGTCAGAAGCACCATGATTATCCCAATCAACCAGACCCAGGATTTCTCATTTGACTTTATTTTTCTTCTCCTTCACTTAGAGAACTGGAAAGTCAATAAGCAATCAGGTCCTACGACATCTTCAGTTACACAGATATTTATTGGGTAACATCTGTGTGACAGACATTGGGAATACAGAGACAAATAAGACATGCCACACCCCTGTAGAGCTCATAGGCAAGTGTCTCTCCCTTGATATTTTCATAGGCACCATTGATGTTGTAGATGCTCACAATCGAGTGCTCACTTTTCTTACTGCTAACTACTAACTGGTGTGGTTCCTTTAGACCATTCACTCCTTCTTAACATTCTAGCCTACTCATAACATTATGCTGCCCGCAACAAAAAAGTCACCTTGTAATTCCCTTGCTAGCAATATCCTTATTGGGCTCCTAGTGTCTCAAAGTGTCTGTGGACTTTACTCTGATAAGCAGAACCCTGTGTATCATCAGAACCTCCTCTGTCTCACTAAAATTATCCCCTTTATTTCAAGCACCTTGTAGTTCAAGTTCATTGCTCCAGCCCAGCTAGCCTTGAAAGTTACTGGCTTTTATTCTGGCCCCATCACCCCAAAATTTATCTTTCCCTCCCTTTCCATCTGTAGCTTCCAGGACAGAGCTACAGCTCTTTTCACAAAATGTTTCAAAAAATTATATCCCACAGTGATCTTGCATTAATATATCACAGTATTTGTCTAAATCACTCATTCTGACATTCAATCATAAATATTCATATTTCTATTTCTTGTCTCTCAAAACTGACTATAAATTCTTTGAGGTCAGTAGGAAAACCTTGCATTTTTTCTTGTTTACTTTCATGCATCCATTTATCTAATATATATTTATGGAGGCCCTATCATATGTCCTGCATCATACTGAGCACTAACGGGGTCTACAGTGCTTTGACTTAGTAAACCCTAAATAAATTTATTGGTGGATAGAATTTATCCTTTTTGCTTGCAAGTAGCACATTTATTTAATAAAAATAAGCTTTAAGCTTACTATTAGATCATTTGTCCACAAGAGTCCCATTCTTTTCAAATAGTCCCTAGGTGTCAACTGTTAGAAGTTTCAACAATCAGGTTGCAGTTTAGAACATATTCGTGTGTTCATATTCTTTAGAATTTAATGTAACTTTTGTAATTGCTGCTAAAGAAATTACCACATTTTTAGGCTCACATTTTACTTTTCTTCAATTTGGTACAAAATGCTCTAAATAAATCAAATGAAAAACAATTTAGCTATTTGACATCGATAATTACAGGGGGCATATCTAAGGTACCAGCTTTATACATAAGCCGGAGATGACTCAGATTTGGCCAGCTATATTAGTAAAAATTGAGGAAAGTAGATGATTTACTAGGATTTAATTGCACAGACTTCTGTTGTGGGTTTATATAATTTAGTTTACAAATATGCCCATAAAAAGAACATTACGGTATAATAAATATTCAAGTAAATAAATAAATACCATCATGCCTATTCTCTTCAATGACAACAAATAATAAGTATTATAGCCCCAGATGTTTATTTAAATTGGCCCTGAAGTGATGGATAGGCCATTGGATAATCATCATAGTTACAGATGCATTTTTTAATACCAAGATGGCACTATGGAAAGAATGGCTATATTGTCCTTGGATCATCCATCTATATGGCTTTTCTGTACATCACAATCTGCAGCAATGATTCTCATGCATCTCTGGATTTGAAGAGACTGCTGATTTTTGATGAAGAAGAAAGAGGAAGGGGAGGAAAAGGAAGAGAAGAAGGAGGAGGAGGAACGAAAGGAAAAAAAACCAAAACACCTTTACAGAGAATTTATTTTAAAAATTGAGCCAGACATTGTGTGTGAAAACTTGCAGAGATAATTTTAGGCTCTGAATAAGGTTACCTTCCTCCAGGGAGATTTAATTTTGTTTCTATTAGGGATCCAAGCTAAGGGCAGATCTAACTCCAACTCAAGATGGAAATGATTCAAATTTGGGCTTCAGTTAAGAACTGATTTGATTTTTCCAGGAACTGCTGGAAGCTCTGCCCAGCTTCTCTGCCTTTCAGCTACACTTTTGCATTCATACTTGGCAGGTTCCAAGAAAAAGCAGCCCCAAAGATTGAGCTCACCTCCCTTGGTTTCTCTCTTCTTCCTGGTTTTAGTCGTGTAAATTCTCCCTGCTTCAGATAGCTCGCCAAGGCCCTCAGACAGGTGTATAGTATACTTTGCATTATTGCCAAGAGGGTCAGTTTGAGTCAACTTAACAGCCAGAAGTAGAAGCTTCTATACCCCTACTTTCATTACTGCTGTCACTACATGTCTATCTTTCCAGCTAATGATTGTGGATTGATCCTCAGTAGCTCAATACCTCAATCTCTCCCCCTTCCTTTTCTGCCTATTCAACGTATGTAGAAAGTTCTCTCAAAGTCAAACTGTGTTGCCACTTGTTTAGGTTACAGTGGTCTCCCTGCCACCAGCATCTCTCAAATCCAGTCTGGAGTAGGACTGTGTAGCATAAAATATCCTGGAAATAAAATAGGTAAACAGGAATCCCCTTTTCAGCCTCTCACTCTGAAATGCCAGTGGGGAAAGATGCTAAATGGTATCCTAAAGGAAGTCATGACATCCATGGGTCCACCCAGTGGCGGGAAGAGATCCGCTCTTAGCTTTGGCCCAATCAGGAAGTTACTCTTTCACCCATCAAGACTGACCAGTCCCTCTCATACTGGCAGCAGGATCAAAGGCAACCAGTCCAACGATACTAGTGTATACTGACTGAAAGAGGAACAGACAGAGCCACAGGCTATGTGGACAAGAAGGGTTACCTTCCCGCAAGAAAGAGCTCCAGGCAGCAGATATGTCTGAGCGTATATTAGGGGAAAGCAAAGCCTCTTTAGTAAGATTTTTAAAAGATTTGATGTTTAAAGTAAACATTAAAAATATAAGTAAAGAGAAAGAAATGTCTCTGGATTGAAATATAATAACATAATTTGGCACAGGACAAAGCCAGTATGGGATGCATAGCAAAGAACCAGAATGTGAGCCCCCCCTCCAAAAAAAAATTCCCAAAACAAAAAATGAAAGCCAACATAAAAAACAGAGCAATCTAAACCAAGAAAGCACAGAAACAACTGACCCAGCTCTATGGTATATGGAGAGATTGCCGGGGGAGCTACCAGATAAGTATCAATGCATCCCCAATCATATTGCTCTAACAAAATTTATTTCTATATTTCTGTCTGGGAGGGCTTCAAGTTCTCCCAGCATGATGGACAGCTCTAGAATGGTCAACTGAGAACCTGGTTTTGCCAGGTTGATGTCTCCTCCCTAGGTTATTACTTAGAACAACTCATGCCCCTGAATGTCACCTGTGTTAAAAAGCTAATGAGGAAAAACTAGAAGGAGAACATGCAAGAAAACCAAACAGTTTTGGTTCTAAAGTGATGGGATTACAGATTATATTTTCCAAACATTCCCTAATGCTATTACCTTGTATTTACAAAATAAATAAATAAATGCTAAATATAAAATGTTAGAAAGAAGAGGCAACATCTTCTAAAATGTAACAAAAGGCATAGTAAAAAACCTTCTTTTTGAATGTGGGATTTTCATAATCAATTCCAGTAACATAATTACAAATTTCTGTATAAAAGATGGGAACATAGTGCCATGTGCCTCGTGAGAGGGTCTTAGAATTCAATCATCCTGATTGCGGTTTGCTGGTCAGTTCTACTTTTCTTTTTAATGATATGTTGCCTATTTTCCCAAAAACAAATGAACAAGACATTTTTAAATTTCATATTATTTATAAAAAATAATTTTTACCTAAAATTTGCATATTCTTCTGCTTGTCGTTTCCATGGACAGCTCTGTATATTTGCGATAATCTTAAGGTAGTCATCTTCCGAATACCTAAGAGTTAAATGTCAATGAAATTAGAAAATAATGATCTCATATAAAAGTCTTCTTAGAGGATATTTTTATAATCGACTCATTTTAGTCCTCTAAATCTCTTCTGAAATAAGGTAAAGTAGAATCAATTAAAATCATACTCATTTCAAAATGCCTAGGAAAATACAATTTGCAAATAATTATGCTGTTGGTTTTGGTATGTATAATTTGCACATGTCATAAGCCAAGTATAGTATTACAAACCATGATAGCACACCAACTCACATGTGTATATTATGGGTATTTCACCTTATCTGTTAAAGATAACTCATTGACTAATAAATATATGCTTTATAGATGTTTATCATAAGTACATAGTCACTTTTCTCAAACTCTAAGTTCACAGATTTACCTTGAGAGGTACAGATAAAATGTCCACAAAATAACCATCTTAAGTTGTAATTTTGAATAGTAGATAAAAAAAACAGATTGGGGTCCTGTTCAGTGCTTCTCAAATTGTACCTCCATGACTATAAATTTTTATATCAATACACAACACCTCTCCTAGCCCTTCAGTCCCCAGTAGATCTCCCTCTATGTGAAACTTCATCATTAAATATTGATTCCTTAAGCATAGAATACAATGTTAGTTCTTAAGCATTCTCATTTGAAATGCAAATATCACTTTGAATGAGAAAACCTTTATATTTTCTTTCAATTAATGTCTTAGTCATTAGTTGCCAGCTATTAGAGATTAAGTCTCTACCACAATGACAGAGTATATACTGGTGAAGGAACAGGGGACCAAGTGGGCAATAAAGAGCTTTGTCAGGAAAAATTATACCCCTGCCCACATATGGTACAATGCAGATTCTCCCAAGTTCATTTCTGAAGGGCAGTATTTCTTATAGGCAGGGAATGTAGTCAACCAAGCCATACCTTTGCTCACGAAATCTACCTTCCTCTTGGGTTTCTCTCCCTTCAATGATACTCCCAACGTGAGTCAAAAACACATCAAGGGCAGGCCACGGTGGCTCAAGCCTGTAATCCTAGTACTCTGGGAGGGTGAGGCGGGCGGATCGCTCAAGGTCAGGAGTTTGAAACCAGCCTGAGCAAGAGCAAGACTCCATCTCTACTAAAAATAGAAAGAAATTAATTGGACAACTAAAAATATATAGAAAAAATTAGCCGGGCATGGTGGCGCATGCCTGTAGTCCCAGCTACTCGAGAGACTGAGGCAGAAGGATCGCTTGAGCCCAGGAGTTGGAGGTTGCTGTGAACTAGGCTGACACCACTGCACTCTAGCCCAGACAACAGAGTGAGACTTTGTCTCCAAAAAAAATAAGGAAAAAGAAAAAAAAAAAACACATCAAGGGTTGCCTGGGATGGGGTTAACATGTGGAGGTGTGGGGGAGACAAATGGATTATAAAAGAGCATGAGAGAACTTTTGGGGGTGAGGGACATGTTCATAATCTTGATTTTAGTGATGGTATATATATATATATATATATATATATATACACTAAGACTCTTCAAATTGTATAGTTAAGTTGGAGTTTATGGAACATCACTCACTCCTCAAAAAAACTTTAAGTAATGTTCATTATTGGATTAAACATTATATTTTCCATGATGATATAATGAAGATAATATGCACTATATATCTGCCATTATTAAAGAGCAAATATCTAAAAATTGAAATTCAATTTACTGAGAACTTAGAGCACATTTAAATTGGTAATGCTTGTTAAAGAGTTCCCTGGATAGCTAATCAGTTGTCGCTTTCTGTGAGCTCTCACAGTGCTTTGACCAATATTTCTACACTAGCCTTTCCCTCACTGAATTTAATTATGAGTTTACATGTTGGTTTCCCACTCTGTCTCTTCCCCTTAAGACACAGAGGACAGACCATTTCTAGCCACACCAGCCCTAGGACATACTGGTTGTTCTTGTTAACTGAAGAAATGTATATTTAAATATAAATGTGAAATATAATGAGGCCATAAGCTACTCTGAATAAACTCAAAGCAACATTTCCTTATTCCATGGATTATGGCTTCTAAGTAATAACTTTCCCCAGTACTGACTTCCACTGACTTTTCCTACTCACAAATCTCCCTGTGTGAAAGTCTTGCCCTCCCTCAATGTAATGCCTGAAAATTCTCACACTGGGCCTCAATAGCTAGTCAATTCTGTCAGTTCACCAACTCATCCTTCCTAATTTCCCATTTCTTAGCACGAAAGGGAGCGTGACTATATGTGTGTGTCCTGTTAAACTTTTATACTTTTTGTCATGAGTAACCCCATACATGACTGTACCTGTCTTCTTTGAACTCCCTCAATAATTATCGATGTAGAATTTGCTGTAGAATTCACATAGGAAACAGGAAAAGGGATTATGCTGCTGCATAATAGATGATTAACCTCTGCAAGTTAAAAACAAAGCATTCAGTGAAGCCCTTTCTCTTTCTGGCTGACTCTCAGACTTGGAAGAAATCTCCACTCCCAACCCTTTTTGTTGGCATAGGGAGTGTGTAGGGAGACTCTCTTCCCTTCCTCTATACTTTCTCTCATTAGTATGCTAAAGCTGGCTCCACCCAAGCTTGTGGGAGTGGACAGTTAAATTTTCAGGAATGTTGTGAGTAAGTTGTTAAACCATTGGTAGCTTTGAAATGGGAGTGTTTCCAGGGGTCCTCAAACTTTTTAAACAGGGGGCCAGTTCACTGTCCTTCAGACCGTTGGAGCGTGAGTACTGCGGGCCCGGGACCAGTTGGCTGCTAAGCAGGACAGGCAGTGGCAGCAAAAACACCCGGAGGGCCAGATAAATGTGCTAGGCGGCCTGCATGTGTCCTGAGGGCTGTAGTTTGAGGACACCTGGGTACACCATCGGAATTGGCAAACATGACACATCATGGCTCTCATCCTCCCCCCTCCCCCCAAGCTAGCCATTAAACATGAACAAGTTCAACGCTGTTCCTGTAATTCTCCATCACAATTGTGCAATCTGTTGTCCTGGCTCCTACCCATTCACTATCCCCATAGTTTGAGACTCACTGAAACCTGCAGAGAAGGCCAAGTAAGACTTTGCTGCCACACCCAACTCATCAAGCAAGACTGATCCAGAGTGGTCCAAAACTGGGGTTAAATAAAACTATCACAGAAGATCCAAACAGCAACTACTGTTTAATTGGAAAATTAATGGTGACTCTATTTTTTACCAAGATATTGTGCAATTGCTCGAATGCATTCTACTTTTACTTTAGCTTCCTTGAAAAGCAGAGTTTATGCCATTTTGAAATCATTCTTGGCTGTATGTTAAGCTTAGCCTGGGACATTGAAATTGCCATCCACTGCCAATTAGAATAAAGGTGCATTGTAAAATATATATAGTCTTTAAAGCATTTTGTTTTAAATTTTCCCCAATAAATTGTAGCTGGCTCCAATTTTATTTAATATTAAAAGATGCCAATCACAATGTTTCTAATCTTACCAGCGAGATAGCTGTATAAAATGGCTTTTGACTCTATAGTCACTGATATGTAAAACCAAGTGAACAATTAGAGCAGACCTGTTTATTATATAATAAAAGAAGAGCTACTTCTGGCCATTTTACAATCAGAAGATGGTACTCAAGCTACTTACTCCCTGAAATTACTGTGTTCAAAGAATTATTTTTATGTCCAGTCTAGAAATGAAGCATGATCTTCTAATATTATAAACGTGAAGGCTAAAGAATATGGGATATCAAGGGGATTTTTTTCCATAAATCCTTACCCTTTTCTATTGAAAAATAAATCACCAACCAGCTTTTTTTGAAAATGAAGATTGCTGGAGCACCATCATGATTATAATGTGGGAGCATGGTCGCAGCAGAAAACCATTTGAGGAGGAAAAACCACACGTGTGCTCCAAGTGTGGGCCGATTTGAGGAATAAGTGTCTCTCTGCAAAAGCTGCTTGTTAAGTCCAATGTCCCAAATCTTATCATATTTTCTGCAAACTTACATATATTGTTGGTTTTCAGTTTACAAAGCACAAAATCTTGGGAGGCAACCCTGCTTATGACATTACTTTCATTTTTCTGGATGATAAAACTAAAAGTTCTGGGAAGATAAACAGCTTTTTCAATATTGCATTGTAAGTGGATGAGCTAAGAATTAAACTCATGTCTTTTGATTCACATTCTGCCTCTTTCCAATATATCATGCTGCATCTCATCTATTTTCATAATGAAACTGAAAATTAATCCCATCAGAAACATTTTCTCGTCCCAAGATGTACAATAAATCACACTGAATAATGCAGCAAGTTATGTTCAAAGGAATAAATAATGTCTATTTAAATCATTAATTATTAGTAATTCTCAAAATGAGGCACAAATTATAAATAACGTACTAAATGATAATAAATGCCATGTTAAAATTTTAAATATTTTTCTGGAAATATCTCTTTGAAGATAAAGATCCACATGCTATGACTAGTTTTATCTCAATTAAGATATAAATAGGGCTTTTTAAGCACTATAATATATGGTTAATTAATTTAATCATTAAATATTTACAGTAGTTCTCTTTTTATCAGTGGTTTCATTTCTTTAGTTTCTGTTACCAGTGGTGAGTCATGGTCCGTAAATATTAAATGGAAAATTACAGAACTAAACAATTCATAATTTTTAAATTGTGCACTTATCTGAGCAGCGTGATGAAATCTCACATCATCTCACTCCACCTTGCCCAGGATGTGAATCATCCCTTTGTCCAGCATATCCACACTTCATACTACCCACTTACCGGTCTCTTAGTAGCCATCTCAGTTATGAGAGAAAAAAACCAGTATATATGTAGGGATTTGTACTATCCATGGTTTCAGGCATCCACAGGGGATCTTGAAACATCTCCCCTATGGATAAGGTGGGACTACTGCATTGGGTGCTTATTAGGCGCCTCGAGTTTATCTTGGGGTTATTTACTTATTAGTCCCATTTAAGCAGCTGAGATACTGATTTAGTCTCCTCTAACATC